TGAGTTATCATAGACTTCATCTTCCCAAACTGCAAGTAGGAACTGGAGGTTGACCCATGGGTTGAACCACACTTGACAAGGAACTTGCTTCTCTCTGACCAGCTTGGGACTCTCAAAGCTCTCAGTCTTACCAAACTGACCTTCTTCTCCTTCCCTCTCCTGCTCCTCCTTCTTCTTTTGACAGGGTATTATGTATCCCAGGCTGATCTCAAAATTGCTATCATGCCAAGGATGGCCTTGAACTTCCTTCTGCTTCTACTTCCGGAATGCTAGGATAACAGGGATACGGCACCATATTCAATTTCTGAGGTATGGAGGGTCGAACCCAGGTCTTCATACATGCTAACTGGCCCTCTACCACCTAAGCCACATCCTTAAGGCCCAAGACTGACTCTACACATACGTCGGGTCCCATTAATAGCTTCCTGATTTCTGCTCCTCCAACTTGCCCCTTTGGAAAATGTCAATTGGTATTGTGCTGGCCCTGTTCTAATGTCTGCTCCCCAACACCCCTTAGGAAATTTCCCAGTCTTGGATTCTTATCAGCTCCTCTGTCCCCAGGAAGCAAGATCTCATGACTAGCCTGCTCAAGTTCCCTTCTCCACTTTCTTCAAAAAGACAGAAACCTCTGTGCCCCATGCACTCAGCTTTCCTGGGCCTGGCTCATCGCCACGTGTGGTACAGTCACTGTCTGCCAGAGAGTAAATGGAATCAGGTGGCCTAGGCTCCAGCTACTAGGTGGAGGGAGGCCAGGAAGAAAGGTGGTGCACAGAGAGGAGGAGACTCTCAGAAAACAAGAGATCTTCAGGAAGGAGCCCCCAGAACCTGAAGCCATTGGGTGGCATGTAGCATTCTTGGAGCTAGAGAGACCCCATTCTTACCATAAAGCCTGGCTTTTGCTGAGCCCTGCAGGGTCAGGTTAGCCAGGGCCTGGGAGAACCTCTTATATGCTCAGAATGGGTCTCAGTTTCCCTTTGGCTCTTTGCCAAAGCTGTGTGCGTTCCCATCCCTTTCAGAACCTTAGTTGCCACCTCTGTGGAAATGGTGTCATGACTCCAAGAGTGCTAAAGAAGTTGGTTTTATTCCCAAATATTTCTGTTCTCTACCTGTCATTCATTCCAAAGTTCCCTTTCTTTTGCAAGTTTGGCAACTCTCATCTGTCACTCAGGAGGTAGCTAAGAATCTGGAGCTGGAGAGATGGCTCAGCAGTAAAGAGCACTGGATGCTCTTGTAGAGGACCCAGGTTTGGTTCCCAGTACCCACATGGCAGCTCACAATCATCTGTAACTGTGACACCTTCTTCTGACTTCACAGGCCTGCGAGTGGCATATCCACACACAGGTAGGCAAAACACTCATACATGCAAAATAAAGTAAGTCTAAAAATACATATTTTACAAATTCTAGTAGCAATAAGTGGTACTTGTTGTTTTAAATAAATAAATAAATAAATAAATAAATAAATAAATAAAGGCAGCTGAGTGTTCAGCCTGCTGCCCATCTCTTGAGGATTTTATGGAGCCTCCAGATCTTTCTATTGGGGGGCTTATAAACAGACACCTCCAGACAGCTTCTTTACCATGCTGTTCCGAGTGCTATTTCCAGATGGTTTCATTTCACTGGACCCCAAAGACATGAACACAAATGTTCCTTTGCTAACAATAGGTTGAGCTGTCACTGGTCCAAGCAGGTACTGTGACATTCATTCAGTCAAGCCATCCTGTATTTCATGTGACACCTGTTTTCTCTTCCTGCACACCAGACCTGTTGATTGGCTTGGAGGAAGGGGTGTGGGCAGAAAGGAGGGTTAATGAATTAGCCATGGGGAAGACCACTAAGGCTGTCACTGGCCAGTGACATTTATACAGAAATGGTCTTGAGGTTCAACTCCGGAAAACTTCTCAAGGAGGGAACCCTTTCCAGGTCCAAAGAAGGCCCAGAAGGTTCAGACAGGTCTCCAGGCCTTAGTGAGACAGAGACAGGCTGAGGGCCTGTCACATTTAAGGGCAAACAGGCTGTTGGATTTCCTATCAGACTCAGAAGCCAGGAGCCGGTAATAAATCAAGAACAGAAAAGTGATGTTAGTGCTGCAAACGAAATTTCCAAGCCCAGGAAACAATTGAGCATTAAAATCCATTGGAGGGGAAAAAAATCTATTAAAACTTCAAGAGAAATGCTTTGCTATAAATTAAGTTTCTCTGCCAACTGGGATAATTCAATAATTTCCCCTTGACATTCTCAAGATTGCTCTTCGGGGGGAATTATGATTCACTGAAGTCGGGAGCGATTTGTTTCCAAAGAAAGACAAAGGTAGTGTGTGCCAGTAATCCCAGCACTAGGAAGCTGACAGGAGCTGCAGTTTGGCTGGCAGACTCTTCCCCAGCATGTCCAGAACCTTGGGTTTGGTCCCCAACATACACTAGGCATGTGCTTGAAATCACAGCACAAAGAGGCGGAAGCAAGAGGTCATAAGAACAGGTCATTCTCATCCTTTAGTGAGTTTGAAGGTAGAGTGAGGTACTTGAAACTCTGTGATAAAAATAATAAAACAACAATAATAATAGACGGAAGAATGACAGAAAGACTCAACTAGGAGTGGGGGTGACAGGTGACAAGGCTTCTAACTTAGACTCCTATGGGTGGATCAGTCCAGTGAACTGAGATTCCACAATGGAGAGGTGTGTGTCGCTGGTTAAGGCTATATTTTGACAGCAGAGCAAGTGAGAAACTTAAAGAAGTCCTTGGGACCCTCCAGAATCTTCTAACACTCTGTTTCCCAACTCTATTGGAACCAGATCTAGGCCCAGGTCACAACATGCCTGAAATCCCTTCTTAACTTTAGGGGGTGGGGGCTGTTGGCCCCCAATTTGCTTTTGCCCCTCCCACAACACATTCTCCTATCATTTGGGGCTTCCATTCCAGCACTTAGAGATTCTGGTCTTTCTGTACAAGGTCCAATAGAGTTGTGATAGCAGCCTATGGGCCAGAGTGATCCTGAAGAGGAAGGAAAGGTGTCAGAGGAAGAAAGGCAGGGATCTTTGAGAACTGGACACAAAGAGCATAAGCACCTGGCACTATCCTCCATGACAACTGAGGGGGAAGAGATGCAGAGCCTGGAGGCTGAACCAGGATCTTCATAGGGCTCGAGAGACATCCAATGTGTATGGAAAGCCCCAGGGCTCTGATTTACTAGTGTCCTGAACCCTTCTCAGTACCGGAAACCCATCCCATGATTTTCCTACTCAGGTTCCCTTCCCTCTTCTGTCCTCTCCCTGGTTTTGGGAACTGGCTTCCTCCAGAAATAACTGGGAAGGACACAGTTTGCCCGCAAAGGTAGGCCAACTGAAGAGTTCCAGCCCTCACCATGCTTGCTCACAGAGTCAATCAGTGCTGTAACCAACAGCCTTTCCAGGAAGGATGTTTGGCATTTGAATTCTCTGCTTTTGCAGAGGCCCTGGAAGGTTAAGTGAATTTTGTACAAGGTCATGCTTTTCTGAGAAGTCCTTTGAACCTAGACTGGGGACCAGGTCAGACCAACTCAACCACCGAATAGGGTCCCATCTCAAGATATCCTCTTCCCTCCCCTCCTCAGATTTTCCCATGAGTCAGAGCCTCACAGATCTGTAAACACAGGTCACTGAGACAGACACACTGAGGCCGGGATGTACATACGGCAGAGACATGCAGTGTGCTCTCTTTCCGGCTATCCTGTAAGTCTCCAGAAGTTAAGATCACAGGGCTCAGCAAAAAGAGGTCAAAGGGGAAGGAAGTGGGAGAGCCTGGGAAAGTTTCTGTCCACACAGCTGTCAGAACCAGGCTTCACACAGACACCGCTTGGCTGATAGCTCAGAGGGCTGGAGCAGAGGGGTCATCTCATCCCGCCTCACTGAGTCATTTCTTCCACGGTTGCTGTCTGCTGTCTATTCCCTTACACCTCCCATTGATGGTTTTTGTTTAGTTTGTTGTTGATTTTTGAGACAGGGCGTCTTAGTTAGGGTTTTTATTGCTGTGAAGAGACACTTTAAACACGGCAACTCTTATAAAGAAAACATTTAATGGGGTGGCTCCTTTACAGTTTCAGGTGTTCAGTCCGTTATCATCATGACAGGGAGCATGGTGTCGGGCAGGCAGACATGGTGCTGGAGCTGAGAGTCCTGTTGCAGGCAACAGGAAATCAATGGATACTCTGGGTGGTATCCTGAGCATATGAAACCTCAAAGCCAGACCCCACAGTGACACTCTTCCTCCAACAAGGCCATACCCACTCAAAAAAAGCCACACCTCCTAATAGTGCCACTCCCTATGAGATTATGGGGGCCAGTTACATATCACATACCAAACTACCACACAGGGTCACATTATGTAGCTTTGGCTGACCTGGAGTTCTCTATGGAGATAAGGCAGGCCTTGAACTCTTGGAGATCTGACACCAGCATACCCTTCTACACCACTGTTTTTTGCTTCTTGACATTTTGAAATTCTCTCTCTCTCTTTCTCTCTCTCTCTCTCTCTCTCTCTCTCTCTCTCTCTCTCTCTGCTTCTTCCTCTCCCTCTCCCTCTCCCTCTCTGTTCCCCCCCCCCTTCTCTCAACTCACTCTGTAGACCAGGTAGCCTAGCCTCAAATGCACAGAGATCCACCTACTTCTGCCTACCAAGTGCTGGGATGAAAGGCCTGGACGAACACTCTTGTCAACACCACCCTTCTGAAGCACTGCCCTGGTCTTGACCCCATATCTGTGTTAGAGCTGGGCACCAAGGTGGTAATTTCTCACAGGAGACCCAACTTAGCACCCAGGAGGTTCCTTTAGACAGAGGAGGTTACAAGGAAACTCAAGACTAGGGCACTTCTGCCAGCAGGCCAGACTGTCAGCAAATACTTAGCAATGCCATGGACTTGAGAAGTGTGTGTGTGTGTGTGTGTGTGTGTGTGTGTGTGTGTGTGTGTGTGTGTGCGTGTGTGTAGTTTTGGGTTTGTTTTGTTTTTCAAGACAGGGTTTCTCCGTGTAACCCTGGCTGTTCTGCAACTCTTCTGTAGACCAGGCTGGCCTCAAACTCACAGATCAGCTTGTCTTTGTCCCCCGAAAGCTGGAATTAAAGTCCTATGCCACCACGATGGTCAAGAAGGTTATATTTTTGTATAGTTGGCCTTCAGGCCCGGGGATCTCCAGGTTCCTGGTTTTGCCTTAGGAAGATAACATTCAGCTCACCCACTATTATACAGCTGAGTGTGACTTGGAACAAAGTTGAGGACGGGGTTGCTTGCTTGGAAGCTGCAGTTCAGTCACTCAGTAGCTTGGCCTCGCTGTGCCTCAGTTTCCTTGTCCCTAAAGGAAGGTAAGTCATCAGAGAGTGCTATAGGCAAGTGCCAGACTTTGTCAGTAACTTGACACAGAATTGAAACCCTTGGGACTTGCAGGCTCCTCTGGGAAGCTGGGCGTGGTGAGCCGGCCTTCCCGGAGCGAGGTGGGGGGGCTGGGCGTCCAGTCCTCCCTTCTCCCCCTCACACACACCCCTCCCCCGACTCAGAGCTTCCTTGCTGCTGGCGGCAGCTGAGTCACTGTGCTTGCTTGCCTGGTATCTTCATCTCTGGACTTCGTAGTCCTGGAAGTCCCATGTCTATCCTCCAGGCTACATCCGACTTGCGCCAGGTGCCTCCAGGAATTCTGGAAATGCTCCTGGGGGCCCACGGGTTTGGGGAGTGGAGGAAGCAGAAAGCCATTCTCCCGCTGTCTGGAGAATTCCAGGAAGCCCTTGGGAGTCTCCCTGGCACCGCTGGGCACCAAGCCTATCTTTGCACCTTTTATCTCAGCTTCCCTCGGGGGCAAGCGCTGTCTCTACAGAACCCCCTTAAAATGCACCTGCCCAGGGGTGGAAGTGTCACTCCAGGCCTGGGGAAAGATGCCAGAAAAAAGGATGCTGGAGGCAGAT